AAGGCCAAACAAAGTAGTTTCGCTTTCACAATGAAGCACACAGTGCCTTCACGACATGGCGGCGGCAACAACAAAACTACAGCGAGAATAAAAGTTACGCCTTCTTTCTTTGCGTGAACATTTGGGCGGCGTTATGCAAATCTTCCCACATCGTGACGTAGATATGTGGGGGCGTGTTAGAACGAGCCATTTTAGGTAGGCGTGGCTGACTCTATAAAGAATATTTCTATTTGAGACTTTAGTCTTTGCAACTTTACAGATCTTCTTTATGCACCAAGAGCTTGTAACACTCCAAAGAGAAAGGAAAAATTGAAATTGCATCATATGACCCCTTTAAAGGTTCAGTACAAAACTTTCTAGTTTTCCTTGAGCTCTGCACAATTATTAAAAGGGTAAAAGCACAATGGCAGAAACTTTACACCAGTTAATGCAGTCTAAATCAATATAATGTGACGTGGTGGAGAGGAAAATAAGAAACCATTAGTCTATGGCTTTTGTCATACATGAGAATAGAGTGTTTGCTCTTATAAGCCATATTTTTCATTGATTAAGTATGAACATGCATTTGTCAATGAGCTGACATTTTAGACTCACATCGTCATATTTTTCAAAGTAGGCTTGTTTAATCTCCACCCGCTGGGCTGCAGAGCGGTTTGCTAGAATGGAAATGATGGTGTCCTCGTCTGTCCCTGTGAGCGACAGGACATGAGCTCATACCTCATAATGTCAGTCATTCCTCCAGCAGACTATACCGGCCTCACAACTCACCGTTTAAGATCAAAAACCTCCTTAAGGGAGGAACAGTTCAACCAAAAATGAAAATTTGCTGAAAATGTACTCACCCCCAGACTATCCTGTAAATGAATTTGTTTCTTCATGGGAACATATTTGCAGAAATTTAGCATTACATCATTTGTTCACCTGTGGATCCTCTGCAGATCCTCTGTAAAGTGAAAAGCTGTGTGTTTGTAATATCATTAAGATGTTTTAACTTTAAATTGTCACTTCTGGCCAAAATATGGATCCTTAATCCATAATAGTGCTTCCTCCAGTGAAAAAATCAATCCTCTGTTGTCCTCTCACATCAAAATCCACCCACATATTTGTTAATAACTGTTTTGGACTTTTTTCAATTATAAAGTGTGCTTGATCCGTGCATATTTCTCTCCTGATTCAGACAAGATGACTTTTTCACTGGAGAGAGCAATTTTATGGATATAGGACTCGTATTTTAGCCAGAAACAACACTTAAAAACATCTTTGTTTATAACAAACACACAGCTTTTTGCTTCATTGTTTGGATTATTGTGATGTTTTTATCAGCTATTTGGACTCTCATTCTGACGGCACCCATTCACTGCAGAGCATCCATTGGTGAGCAAGTGATGTAATGCTACACTGAAGAAACAAACTCCTCTACATCTTGAGCGTGACGAAATGTTCAGCAAATTTAGATTTTTGGGTGACCTTTTCCTTTAAAGTCCGCACAAAATCAAAATTGACCTTATTTACTTTGTAAACGCAGATTACTAGTCTTGTGGTGAACAATTCATCTGTGCAAGTTAATCCACAGAAGGAAAAAATTGTCTTTGCAGTCTTTAATCAAGATCAGAAAACGTGCATCCCCTATAGATTGACTTTCCTTCTCTGATGACGTCAGTTTGACCGTTTGGGCAGAACATCTTTTAACCAGTCCTCTCTAATCGCCAGTCTGCTGTGAACTGGAAATAGTGAGGAGGTATTACAATTTCTTTTTTTCTCATTCAGTATCACTTTGAAATCCATCGGAATACTGAAGTAAAGCTGGTCACGAATTCTGTTTCATGCAGACTTCAAAAGTGCTATAATATATCATCATATTGCAAGTTAAAAAAACAATCACCCATGTCAGTGTTTTCCAATAAGTGATTACTTTTATTCAACCTACCCATTCCTTTGCTGGCCTTACGGATTGCCTTGATGTCTGCCATCACATCAAAGTCCTCATAAGGAGTTATTGTGGGCTGAAATGAAGGTTGTGTAAGCAATTAAACTACTGCAGTTTTAAATTACATTTACATCAAGAGATTTTGAAATAGGCTAAGCAATTCATTCCTCGTTATGTTATCAAAAGACGTGATGGGTGAGTCCATCAGCATGTTTTTGAAGGGTTTGTGCATGAGATCACTGCAGCAGAGTCTGTAGGGGGAGGAGGGGCTCTGTATCTAACACACACAGCTGAGTCATGGCATCTCTGGGCAGGGACAGGAATAGCGGAAGCCGTCCTCTGCCTCGCCCACTGCCATAATAACAATGTGCACTTATTGATAACAGAAACAGTTATTCTTTTATAAACATTCCTCTTCCTCTAAGAGAGTATAACACTGCTCAAATCACAGTAAAATACAAGAAATAATAGTAAATATAAAATGTGTATAAGGAAAAAAAATGACTAAATATTTCAAAAATATTTCGTTTTGAAATTTTAATAATAAACGAGTACGAAAAATGTTAAAACATTCAAATTAAACATCAAAATGTCAAGCGAGAAACTCGTTTGCGTGCAAGTATTTTTAATTTAGTCTATTTATTTGCTGCATCTGTAAAACAAACTAATAACAGCCCATACTGTTATATGTAGTGAAATAAATAAACTGAGAAAAGTGAGAAAAAGAAACAAACTGCACTTGTTTTACTCACTTGAACGTTGCCCATCTTGTGATGCTGATGCGAGTCTGTGAATGCGCGCTCGCTCTCTCCAGCCTGCGACGCATCCCTGACGTCACTGTCGGTGACGTCATATACACTTTACATTTTTATCTGATTTTAATCTTTTTTTTTTTTAAATCAGCAACCATGTTCTCAACAGAAGAGTAAAGCGTTATTAGTTTACTAGCTACATATGCCCATTCTTTATTGAACTGATGAGATTATATAAACAAAAAGGATCTTTCTTCGTTCAGCAGGAATGAAACAAATGTGCGTAGGCTGATACAAAATTTAGTGAGCAGAATCCTTTGATTTAAGACAAGAAAGTCTTTGTTAATTGTGTCCCAGCAGCATCAACCTACTCGCTGCATGAACAGCTGGTGCTTTGACTTTGTGTTTACCAGAATACTAATATTTATGGCATATATATTACCTTCTTGCAGCAGATTATCAAATATTTTATTTTGAAGTAACTTTTTTTACAGAGTACAACATTTAAAAAAGCAGATGGAATGCACATAGGAAGCAATTACTAAACGAAGAAAACAGAGGCGTGCATATGATCTCCTGGCCTGTTTATATAATGAATACAAATATTACTTTCAGCAATAATGATACAAATGTTACAAAGAACTCATCCACATTTGCAGTGCGTGACCATTGATTCTAACTGACTCAGGCAAACACTCTTATATCATGTGCGCTACTGCATGTGGTGATTTTTAATAAATTGTATATATTTTTTTTTATTCTGCTCTACTCTATACATATAAAGTCTAGAATTGTGTTGGTCCATGACCTGTTCCCTGACATTGAGAGCATTCATTCATCCACATCACACCAAAGTGGTGAAGACTTGGCTCATGAATATTAATTAGGTACGTTATTGGGCGCTTCAAGGGGCTTACTATGCAACGTCACTTAACGTTAATAATATTAATGACCTGCGCTATTATTTAGCAAAAATACAGAAAATAACTAAATAGAATAGAATGCAGTATAACTATTTATGCGATAATAAATAAATCATCTTTATGCTTAAACAAACCAATATGCAAAATCTTCAGTTGCGTTGCCGCTCGTAACACGCATGCGCACTGTGAACTCTGTCAGCTGACTTCCTGGCCGAGGGAAGGACCGCTGCTGCTAGTGTCCCGCTAATCCTTCAGATCCCGAAAAATACCACGGAGAGGGAACGGTCCATTCCGCGCCTATTCGTGCGGACACTAAGTAGGTATGAGCACATTTTTAAAATAAGATTACGCGAGGACAGAAATGGTTTGAATTTCGACCGGGAAAAATGGTTTTCATCATCGCCACACACACACAGGTCTCGAGGGAAGCAATAGAGCAGTTCACGAGCTTGCTTACTATTAATGACTTCGTCTATTTTAATAATTAATATCAGTTACAAGAGGACGCTTGTGCGGCTAGCGGTTTAAAAGTACGCTCGTTTAATGAACATGTCTTTCAGATGGCAGACATCTTGTGCTAATTATGCGCTTAAACCTCACTGGACGAACACTTCCTGTTCAGCGCCTGTGCGTTGAGTGAATACTAACATCATTAGGTGTCAGTGCAAATATTTATTTACATAATTGCGCTTTTTTGACGACATCACGGCGTTTTGTAGTTGAAGACTATGCCATTTGTCTGTCTAGCCATGCACCAACAGATATACTCTTTTTAGGTTCAAGATATTATGTGCTTTTAATATGGGTGAATTCATTTATTTTGTAGTCAACGTAGAGTTTTTGTCTCCTAAACTACATTATATGGTTTGTCACAGAATGTCAAACTGTTGAGAGTTTATCTAGTCTCACTTGTAGGGCTGAATGCCTCTCAAATCTTATCTGGGTCCTACAGGGCTCCTCTATCAGCCAGTGAGCGTCATATTCGTTTTCATTGTCCTGTGAATTATAGGAGTGAGGGCCCACCATGGAATGTGAGGTCTGAGGGGCAGCCACCATGATTGGAGGACTGTTCATCTACAACCATAAAGGGGAGGTGCTCATCTCCCGCGTCTACCGCGATGATATAGGGTGAGTGAGTTCATCAATGCTCTTAAAACGGCTTCTGATCTCAAGGACAAGATAGACTATGTTAGAGAAAATGTGAGTTGATTTCAGTTCATCTCCAGACGGGATGGTAAACGGCACCAAAACACACAACAACCACTAAAAGCTGCTCAGAACACCTTAAGCCAAGTTCACACACTACAGGATTTTAAGCCCGATTTGCAAGTCAATGAGCTCGCTGACAGGTTGGGCTGTGATCGCCGATGCCAAATGAATATCTAGCATGCCAAATATCTGGACCGGTCGGCCGACTCGTCATCCTGTTTTGTCAGGTGTTGCGACGAGCTACAGCCAATGAGAGAGAGCAAGGCATGGGTTGAGGTCAGCAGAAGAAAAGCAGCAGCAGCAGCAGCAACATGGCTTTAAGAAAAGTCTGGACACGAGAAATGGAGTGAAATTTTCCAGAACAGATCGTTGTGCAAACCATTTTCAATTTTCAAATAAACAACTCCTGTTTCACGTGTTGTCTCTCGTCATTTCCCGTTCCACTTCTCGCATGTGTTTTTGTGACAAAATGTGGTTTGGGGACCATATAGAGTCGTTGGGTGACAGAGTTGTTGTGAGCTCGCGTAGTGTGTGACCCCCTGTTGTGGATCATTTACGTAGTGTGAACACCACAACGACTTCAAGACAGACAGCAAGTCATGTAGTCTGAACAGCACAGAGATCTGCCAACATTTAAAGTCGCGTAGTGTGAACTTGGCTTTAGTGACATCCTACCAATGCAACTACCCACTGACTTTAGCACTGGCAAAGTCTAAATGTATTTATTTTTGCTATTAGAAATATTAGAATACATTTTGGGGCAAATAGACTGGCTTTATTGTTAATGTGCAAGCTCAGCAGGGTTTAAACTCCATATCATTAGGGTTATCCTGTTAGGGAAGAGGAAAGGTGATAGGATGTTAGAAAGCAGGAAGCATTGCTCCATTCCATTACCACAATGAGCTAAATTTCATTTTTTGTAACCATAAATGGGGAAGTATTGTTTTTTTCCCTCCATATAACCCCAGATCAAGTTTTTGTTCTCATAAAGATTTCATTGGTGTGTTTCCGTTACTGTTGTCCATTTAGACATGAAGCCAATGTTTGTCTTTCTCCTTTTTCCTTGTCATTATTCCCTCATGCTCTTTGTCCTTTGTACTGTTTTTCTCCATGTTCATTGTGGCTACTGTAGCACTAGGTAAGCAATCCCACTACAACCAATGACCCGAAAGCATGTTTTTAGACCCCAGCAAACAACCAACCAATCACTCTGACGCATGTCACCAGTCACCCCCAATCTAGGGTTGGGCAATATAGCCAAAAATATATCCGTATATTTAGCCTTTTAATAATACAATCTAAATTTTTTGTACATGTATTTTTTGCAATACGGGCAAATAACAAACAGTTAAAACATTAAAATACAGCCTCTCTCTCTATATATATATACTGTATATATATATATATATATAATTAAATAAATATATACATACATACATACAAGACGTCCCATTTTGGTGTACACCTCAAATTAAAATAAAATAACTTGAGTCAATTAGTGTAACAGATATATTAATGTAAAAATTAAACAACATACTGATTCTGACTTATTAAAATATATAAAAGAATATATGGTCATACTAAATTTTATTATATTTTAAATTATTAAAAACTTTTAGCTGACAAATTGTAATGAATTAATATATTGTTGCTGCACTGTAATCCTTAAATGGTCTTTTATTGTAATCTTATGATTCTGGTTCTGAGTATGACTGACAAGATTTTTTGGTATACAACTATTATTACACAAAATTATTTTTTTCTGTAAATCATGGTAAAAATGTATGATAGTCATTATTAGGTTTTTTTTTTCTATGGATTATTATTATTATTATTACTATTAATTAATTTCAAGGTTTCGGGGGCTTTTGGGGCCCCTAACATGCTCAAAAACTCTAGAAACTTGGCATACACATTGGAATCTGCGGCATCTGGTCCGTGGCACACTGCTTTATAGGGCCAATTTCGAGGAGCTCTGTAGCACACACTGTGCTTTGACCTACAGTCATCAAAATTCACACACATAGATCTCATCATCCCCAACAAATTTCACACTGCATGTCATTAGCTTCGCCCTACAAGAAGTCAGCTATTCTGGGTTTTGTGAAAAACACATGCTGTGGAATTTGCGATACTCCTAGGTTTTTCATCCGATCGGCACCAAACTCAGTCAATGTGATCTCAAGACATTGGGGATGCTAAATTCCGAAGGAATTTTTGATATGTCGAACGGCTTGGCCGTGGCAGGGCAACAAATCTATGGCAAAAAAAATGGAAACAGGAAGTGTTATAACTTCAGCATACTTTGTCTGATTTTGATCAAACTTCAGCAGTTTGTATGATGCCGATCACATAGATGTGACTATTTTGATTCTCAGTCATAGCACCACCAACTGGTAGCGGAAAGTGTCATTTTTAAAATGCTTGGAAATCAGCCTCTTATTTTTAACTGATTTGTTTCAAACTTCATCAGAATAATGTCAAAACATGGCCGATGTAAAACTGTGAAGATATTCTTGATATCTTAAATACTGTTGCCATGGCAATGCATCAAACTTTAAATTCTTTTCTGGTGTTTTAGAGGCACTTAACATGCTCAGAATTTCATGAAACTCGACACATCAGTATTAATGAGAGTTAGACACTGGCAAAAGCTCATAAATGGGCGTGGAGCAGGCGCTCTATAGCGCCACCTTTTGACAAAAGTTGGGGGGTTAGTTTTAGCTACAGACACCAAACTCGGTACATATATTGTTCTCATCAAGCCGGACAACTTTCTAATTTACAGTCATTAGCTACGACCAGCAGGAAGATGGCTATTTTGATTTGAATGTGGATTTTTTGAAAAATCAGGTTGTGAATTAATGCATACTCCTAGGAGAATCATGCAATTCACACCAAACTTTGTCAACATGATGCCAAGATACT